GGGGGTGGGGGGGTGTTACCAGGGATTGAACCCAGGGGTGGGGGTATTTAACCACTGAGCCACATCTCCAGCCCTTTTTGTGTTTTATTTAGAGACAGTGTCTCACTGAGTTGCTAAGTACCTTGCTAATCTGCTGAGGCTGGCTTTTAACTCAGCCTCCCAAATTGCTGGGATTACAGGCATGCACTACTGTATGTTCCTTTTTAATTCTTCCCACCATTCTTTATCTTCTATACTCTGTATCTTTTCTCTATCCTTAGTATCTATGGAGTTGCTTTTCATTTGTGTTTTATACAAATGGAATCATAATATTTAATACTTTATGTCTGACTTCTTTGATGCCACATAATGATTTAAGGACTTATCCATATATTTCAGCATGTTTCAATAGTCTCCCTTTTTTAATATTTTTATTTGCAGTTGGACACAATACCTTTATTTTTCTTTTTTATGTGGTGCTGAGGATCAAACCCAGGGCTTTGCACATGCTAGGCGAGTGCTCTACTGCTGAGCCACAGTCCCAGCCCAATAGTCTTTTTTTTTTCTTTTTCAAATTTATTTATTTTTATTTTTTTAGTCTTCCTTTTATATTGTGGAGTAGTTGGTATTTCATTGTATGGATATACCACATTTTGTTTATCCATTAACCTGCTAATAGACATTTGAGTCATTGGGGCTCATTCAACAAATCCTAATTGAGTACATATTATCATCCAGGCAAATGTTAAAAAAAAAAAAAAGGGAGACCACTATGAATAAAGTAAACAAAATACTGGTACAAAAGGAGCTTACTCAGGGAGATAGAGAATATTATATATATAGAAATACATAAAGTATGCTTGGTGAGAAAAATGAAGTAGGTTGAGAGAGAAAGGAGAGGGATGTATGCCTTACCTCTACGAAAGGGTGGCAAGGTGGAAATATAGCTCTGGACAGAGAGGAACAGATATTTTTGCAGGCCTAGAGACTCCAGGAGTATCAAAGATTTCAAGGCTTTTAAGTGAGTCTATCCATACATCCCCAGACACAAACAAGGCTTTGACCATGACATTCTTCCCCACCAGGGCCCTGACTGACATATTCGACTTTGCAAGATTGAGAATTTACTTTTTCTCGGGAACTCTGCTATTCTTGTGATTAAATGCTGATTCCAGTGCTGATTCTTTTGTCTTCTATCTACAGGAGCTAAGTCTCTATTTACTGCCAAGGAAGATCTCTGAGTTTCCAATTTTGCTTTCCCTGTAAATAACAATTATTCTTAGCCTGTGATTGTATTTTTCTAGTTCATCAATGATAATCAGCAATAAATTTTTATTTCATTGTCCTTATAATTAGTACTTCTACAAAAACACAAGGTGTTACAAATGCCAGTACATTTCCTTTCCACTGGTGTACCATTGCAGTTCACCACATCTAAAAGTTCTAACAATCGTACTACTTCAGCAAGTCAGGCACTTTCAGTGCTTCACTTACCAGCAGTGATGTGGTCCTCATTCAGCTAAGTGGATGATAATCCAGCTCTAAAACCTCATTTAGAGTCTGCTTCCTTGGACCATTCTGGCCAGTTGAGTTACCTAGGAAATAGATTTTGAGCTCCTGCAGGAAGTTATTAGTGAGTGCTTTCAGGATCAACATCTTTGAAGGGATTAAGGAAGTAGGATTGGGCTTTGGGAATAGTTGAACTGCAGTGAAGTTGCACCAAAGGATTCAGCCAATTCTATGGAGAACTCTGGAGCTAGATGATTCTTTAAAGTGTTTCTTTCCCAAACATTACAGATTTGGTAAAATTCTAGTTAGGTTGAGTCTTGCTTGCCTCCACTTGGTCACCTTTGTATGGATCCAATGGTTGCTTTGTTTTGCTTTTTGTTTTTTGTTTTTTTCCTGGCTTTTTTTTTCTTTTTCTTTTTTATGGTTTTTAGCTGATATTCACGAAGAGAGTCAGTACTTGGAACTGTGCCACCAATGAAAGGAAATCCCAAGGAAGTACAATTCTTTACAGAGCTGTGTCACACCATCCTTTGGGCCCTCTGCTGGAAAAGTAAAATCAATTCTCAAATAATTGCCTTTTTAATTGTATCCTCTAATATTGTAGATGTAGGACAGTACTGTACCTTACTCTGTGAATGTCAAACCTCTTGTACCTGCTTTATGATACATAGTAGTGACTGTTCTTTATCAGAACTGTTTTTAATGACGTTATTCTAGAATATTTTCTTTGCAGATGATGATTGAGAAGCCAATTTAAAAAATGGTGCCAGGTATCACAACAGTATCAGAAGTTTGCTGTTTTTTCAGGTGTTATTTTGTTTTTGTGTTTTTTTTACCCCCCCCCCTTTTAATGGATTGTGCTGGATGTTTCTATAATTTTGTTTGGATGACTACAGAACCTGGAAAAGCTCTTGCTGCTATTGATGCATAACATAGTGCTATTATTGGTCTTTTTATATAAATGTAAATATATATATAATTTGAATTTTTGGAAACTTTAGCTGTGCTATCAACTTTGGAAAAAGTATCCCAGTTTACCATCTTGAGTCAGCATTGTACAGAAATTAATAGCCATATTGGCCTAGAAACATTAAACTTAATTTTTTTCCCATTTTTACTGGGGTAACACACTGTATAAAATACGTAAGGTCTTATCTACATGGGTTTGATTACAAAACTAATATTCTGTAAATAATAAAAAAGTTTTTCTTTCTTGAGGCAAGGGGGCAAGAATCCTTGTACCCCCAAATGGAATAGTCCTTAGATGTAGATTGGGAGGCCACTCTTTTCAGCCAAAAGCAATTCATAGAGAGGATCGTGCAAGTGTATTTTTGGAATAAATTCCTAAAAATGAAAGTGCTAGATTAATGGGAAAATATATATGTAATTTTGTTGAAGTTCTTTTCCATAGGTGTTGCATTATGTTGCATTATAGCCAGCAATGTACAGGAATGCCTGTTTCCTCACTGACTTGCCAATAGAGAATACTTTCAAACTTTGAGATTGCCAATCTGAAAGACGAGAAAAAATTTCTGTATTGTTTCAATTGCAAGTGGTTTTTAATAGGAAACATCTAAAAACAAACTGAATGTTCATCAATAGAGGACTAGTTAATTAAATTATGGTAATTACAATCTATATAGTATTATTCATCATGCAGTAGACACATATATGCCATTATAACAAAATCTCTAAGATACATTAAATGAAAAAAATTTTATTGAGCAATATTTACATTGTGATCTCATTTGTATATAATCAAAGAATTTTTACATTTACATTTTTTAAATTTGCCTAGAAAATGCCTGGAAGAGTATAAAAGAAAAACTACTCTGGGAATTGTGAATAGAAGTTGAAGAGAGGGTTATTTTTACTTTTCACTTTATGGCCTTATCTAATGTTTGAAATCTTTTATAGCAAATAGTATTGATTTTATTTTTTTAAATGCTGTTATTATTCAACCAACCTGTACTCATTTTTACCTAGAGAGTTTGTTTCTATTTCATGCCTCATTCACTTGATCAATCCTCTTGGCAAAAAGATAATGATCTAGAGGCCATTATCTCCCAGGCACTGTGATTCATGTCAGTTGCTAGTCTCACAACATCTATGTAGCCTTGGTTCTCTCTTGGCTTTGACCTCACTATGGAGGCCTCCATATGGCTGGGGATTGTGGTACCCCAACCAATGTCAAAGGTTTTACTGTTCCTGTGCAATTAGAGCAAAATACCTGTGTTTGGAGGAATGGGAGAATGAATTTGTGGGAGAATGGCTCACAATTGTGCATCTTTGGACTGGACTAATTTCTGTTATTTGGCCAAATAGTTTACATTAGTGCATTTTTAAAGTAAATATTCATTCTTTGAATGAAAGTATATTCATTTTATGCAGCATTATTTTGGTCATTGTCCAATTTTTTTCTTGTACTAGAAATTGAACCCAGAGGTACTCTACCACAGACCTTTTTATTTTGAGGAAGGGTCTGGCCCAGGCTGACCTCCAACAAGAGATCCTCCTGCCTCAGCTTCCCAAGTTGCTGGGATTATAAGCATGCACCACCTTGTCTGGCTCATTATCTGATTTAATTTTTTTTTAATATTTAATTTTTAGTTGTAGTTGGAAACAAAACTTTTATTTCAAGTTATTTATTTTTATGTGGTGCTGAGGATTGAACCTAGGGTCTCTCACATGCAAGGTGAGCTCTCTACTGCTGAGCCATAACCCCAGCCCCCATCATTATCTGATTTTTGAAGAATGAAGTTTTAAATCTAATTTTATAGATGGATACTACAGACACTAAAAAGGCTAATAGGATGTAATGATCTTCTAAATAGAATAATTCATTGGTTTGATTGATAAGTTGGTTCTTAGATTTAAAATTCTAAGGTGTAGTTATAGAAATTTGCCGATAAGTAAGTAAACAAATGTAGAATTTTCAGGTTAACATTTACCACATCCCTTTCTTGAAGTTGTGCAGAAGCTAGGATTCTTATTTAAATAACTGATTTAAACATGATCTATTTCAGATATCAGGTTTTATTTTCCCACATAAAGCAGACTAAAGCATGTACATCTTTCAAAATATAACAAAATTCCATAAAACAGACAAAAATACTATGTATAAAGCTAATGTTATGTACCCAAGGGAATAAATAAGATAATCAGGATTTGCATGTTTCTTGAGAACTTTTCATTTTTCATATCAGTTAGGTGCTCTGAGATCTCTGCCAGGAAATGAAAACAACCTTTGCACTATCAAATACACATTAAATCCTTGTCTCCAAGTTTTCCCAAATGAGTCATTCATTAATCTGACATGCTTGAGTTTGTTTATACAGAACAGGGTAAAATTTTAGCTTTTAGTTTTACATTCAATCTCTACTTTGCTAGGAAGGATTCAATTATCTTTAGTATAATCTCATTGTTGGACTTTAATGAAAACGTCGTAAGAGCAAGCGGCATTATAACTGAGAAACCATCCAGTTCAGCCTTGTATTTCAGTTACTACAAGTCTTGATTGATGGTCCTACCCATCAAAAACTTAATAATGCTTTTTATAGTCAGTACATTCATGAAAATCTATCATAGATTTAGCATTGAAGCTGTCAATTTTCTAGATTTTCCTGCACAGAGAGGATGGTACACTCTTATAGGTAGTAGTAAAAAGAAAAAAAAGCCAAAGTCTCTTTCTGCTATGTCTCTGTCAATGCTCTCCTTGCAGGCACCAATTCTGGTTGGTCAGTGGCAGTGTAGACTAGATATTGTTGGAGGTTTGGAGTTTTTCAAGGGGTTACTTAGAAGGTATGTTGAAAATATTTCAAGCTTCTCTGTGCGCTCACCAAGGCAAGAAAATAAACCTTTTAGCATTCACAGAGTGGGGAAAAAGAACAAAAGAAAGGGACAACAGTCAGAGGCAGCTGTTTTGATGATGAAAAAGTCCTTTGTCCTCATACCAACTTCAATTGTTCCTATGTTGGACATCTACCAGTTGCACACTCCACCCTTCTTCTACCCTGCTTTCTGCTCAGAAAGGCTGACTTGTTGAGTTTAAGTTAGTGGTTTTCCAAGTGTGATTCCTGGACAAGCAGCATCAGCAACACCTGGGGGTTTATTGGAAATGCAAATTTTCAGGTCCTATCCCATTGTTATTAGATTGCTGTGTTCTAATAACTCTCTGGTGATTCTGATTCTTGCTAATCTTTGAGAATCATAATACAACATAATTTAACTCCTTTGGGGTATCTTGTGGGTTTGGTCAGTTGCGGGGGACTAGTAGGAAATTTGAGGGGGGAAGGAGAATATTTTCTGGACATTTATTTTTCCAGGTCTTCCCATGTAAAGTCACCAATAGTTGGCTGTATTCCTTTAACAAAGGCCACATTTTCTGCCAGGAAGCCTTCAATATACTTCTACTTTTTGCAGGTCATAGTAACCTCTGTTTTTATAGGATTATAGGGACCTGCATTATTCCTTACTACCTTCTCTAAAAATATGCCCACACTTTTGTACATATTCTCTTTAATGAATTCTTTTTGGTTACCCTATTTAAATATGCCTGGATTATAACCAATGTAGTTTCCGTTGGCAATTTTTGGGGATGTCCATTTAAGTGACTCACTTTGCTTTTGAGAATACCTTCTCTTCCCTTATTTATTTCATAGGATTGTTAGGAGGACTAAGTGAGTTAATATGCTTATCATTGTGTCTGGCTTGTAAAAATCCAATGTATAGTGGTTATTTGTAGAAAACTTACAGGGTCTTTGTTGTATTCATTTGTGAGATATCAATATGTAAGTGTCCTCAGATCCACTGCCTTCATGCTTCTATGCCTTAGCTTCCCAGTATTAAAGTTGATTTCCATATTAATTACCTGATTTCAGAAAGAGAAATTATTAAGACAATAAAAGAGTTCAACCATTCGGGTATCATTGATTAAATGTCAAAACCTGTTTTAAATGGTCTTACCCAAAGCACCATTAAACTAATTAATTAAGTTATGATTATTATGTAATTTATAAAACATGTAGAAAAGTTCATGTTCCTTAATGGGCTCTGTCTTTACTGATACTTCTTTGAACTTAT